GGCTGAGCAGAGGACCCGGGAGAAGGGTTTGCCTGACTTCTGACTTCTGTGACAAAAGCTACCGTCTGCCTGGTGCTTCATTTTCAAGACTCATTGGGTATTCCCTTGGGTGCGGGTCAGGGGCCAACCCAGCTACGCACCAGCAGGTGAGGCTTACTGCCCCAGGCCTGGCCTGGCTTGGCTTATACCTACATACTAATGATTTATGCGACAACTGTGTCCTGAGCTCTTTCATATACCTGACCCTCCCTACAACCATATGAGGTAAAACCTCATTGTACAGATAAGTCATTTGCCCAGGTTCCCATGGGGAGGAAGTGGCACAGCCAGGATTGGAACCTAGCAGCCCGGGGCTGAGTTTCTATTAACACTGACACCTGATGCCCCTCAGGTGACAAGTAAGGGGCAAGCGCTGGAGGGGCTGACCGCCCTCCAGGGCTCAGATGCAAGTAAGGAGTCAGGTTGTTTGATTCTTGCTCGACCTTTGCACCANTTGCAAGGTGGGGGTGGGCTCTAGAAGTTGCCTGGGAATCTCAGTTGGGAAGCTCATGTGGAACTAGACACCCTGACAGGGGAGATAGGGGGTGTCCCAGGGACACTTAGTGGAGTCTGTTTTGTTACTGATGCCCCTGCACACCGCCAGAGCCATGCTTTCCAAATCTTGCCATCTCTCTCTGGCAGGTTCAGCGTATCCTGGCTCTGTGCTCCCTACATGGCTGCGGTCCACCCTTCAGACAGCTGCCTGCACATCTGGGATAGCTGCAGCGGGCCAAGTTGGCACCTCTGATGTGCCAAGCACTTTACAGAGTCACATCATTCTCCCATCAGCCTGGGGACCTAGGACACTGAGGTTTAGAAGAGTAAGAAGACTTTCCATGTCGGAGGGGCAGCTGGTGGGAGAGCTGGGTTGATAAGTAGACTTTCTGGTTCCTGTTTCTCCAGTGCTTCTCTGCTCAGCATTGCCCAGGGGGGTCTCTGAGATGAGATACCTTTCAGATGCCTCCTGAGTCTGGGAGAGCACCCTGGGTAGCAGCCACCATGCTGTCCCAGACATTTCAGACTGGCCTTTCCTAAAGATGTGCCATTGGACATTCATGGCCTCCACAGAAATGGAGGGAAGGGTTGTCAGTCTATACATTTGGGAAACCTTGTATTAAACAAAAGTACACAAGTTCCTTTTTGTTTGTTTGTTTGGTCAGAATTTCTCATCTCTTTCATTATGCTAACATGCCTTATGAATCTCTAAAAAATGGATCTGGTTTGCAGTATTTCCCTTTTTCATTCCCATTTCATTTTCATCTGTGAGGCTAGACTCAGCTATTCTGCAGGAACAAGAATCTCCAAAGTGTTCCTGGCTTGTGACCAGAAAGGTACATGTCTCACCCCCACGATGTGTCCACTGCATGTTGACA